CGGGAATAAAAATATAGATATATATATATATATATATATATATATATATATATATATGCAATAGGGATATATGTAGGGCTGAATGATGGGTAGGGAGCATGGAGAGAAAAACACAATAGAAAGAGTGAAAAAGTGAAAATATATTGAAAGGGTCAGAAGAGAGATAGAAGGAAATGGAAAGACTGGATGTTGGAGAAAGGAAAGAGATATAGCCAAACAGGCAGAATAGCCTCTGCTGAGCAGAGGGAGAGCTCCCACCCCGGAGCCCCGATCCCATCGGGTTATGACAGCTCAGAACGCAGCACTCACCGTTCTTGGTAGCGGCTCCTACACTGATGAGCAGCAGAAGAACCAAGCAGCAGCAGCAGCAGCAGCAGCAGCGGAGCAGCCTGGGATGCATCCTCCGGGCTGGATCAGTAACACAAACAAGCAAGCAGCAATAATCTCCCTTGCAATCCTAAATCCCCCGGCTCGGCTCCAGGAAAACACACAAACAGGTCTTGAAAAAAAACAAAAAAGCGCAGCCACTCTTCAGCCTCCTCAGTGTCCTGTATCCTGTCATTGACTTCACGGTTTCCTCCAGCACTTCCCACACTTGGTGCTGCTGACTTGTGTTACCATCTCCCCAAACAGCAAGGGGGAAGAAGAGAGACAAGCTCCTCCTAGAGCCACTTTGGGAACTGATAAGGAAACCAAACGACTCCTTGCTTTTCCTGGAGAAATAAGGAAGGACAAAAAAAAAAGAAAAATATATGATTAATGAGCAGCTGCCCAGCGCAGAGCCACCAGCAATGCTCAATAGAGGGACCAAGCTAATGACTTGTCTCCATCACATAGGTGTCCCTAGGAGTTCATTCAGCCAGTGTGTGCAAGAGCCATCTGGGCAGATTCCATCCCTGGGTCCCTTTGTTATATAGAGGCTCTTACTGGGTTGTACTGGCAGCTGTGCCAGCATCAAGGCATTAGCTGTGTGCCAAGGAGCACGCCTCTACTCCACAGCGCAGCAAGCGCTCCCTACACCATCCCTAGCAGACTGCATTCAAGAGCTGCGATCCGTCACATTACATCCCTGCCTCCCCTTAATACGCCCAGCCCCTATAGACATCCATACCTTCAGCCAGTGGAACAGGTAGTGCCCAGGCAGCTGCCCACCCCCGCAGCTCAAGCTGGCTGTTGTGTCATGCCAATGAAGAAAAAAAAAAAGCAGCCTTCATTTTTAAGGATCGCCCAGCTCCTATAGACATCCACACTTTTAGCTGGTGGAACAGGTAGTGCCCAGGCAGCTGTCCACCCCTGCAGCTCAAGCTGGCTGCTGTGCGATGCCAATGGGAAAAAAATATATACACCCTTAATTTTTAAGGATCGGCTAGCCCCCGTAGACATACATACCTTCAGCCAGTGGAACAGGTAGTACCCAAGCAGCTGCCCACTCCTGCAGCTCAAGCTGGCTGCTGTGTGGTGCCAATTAAGCAAAAAGCAGTCCTAATTTTTAAGGATCGCTCAGTCCCTATGGACATCCATGCCTTGAGTCAGTGGAACAGGTAGTGCCCAGGCTGCTGCCCCCCTTGCAGCTCAAGCTAGCTGCTGTGTGATGCCAATTAAAAAAATAAAGAAAGAAAAAAGCAGCCTTAATTTATTTTAAGGATCACTGGCCAGAGCTGGTGGAAAGGCTGAGAAAAAAAATTAAAGAACTAATCCACCCAGGCACTGAACTTCAACTGTTTATCAGAGAGCAAGCGAAGCCCCCAAGAGGTCTGCAGCCTATTACTGAGAGCAGCCCATGTGCCAGGTAAACACAAGTGGAACTGACAAGGCATGACCTGCCCATCTGCATCAGGTAACAAGCTCTGTAATTAAAGGCAGCTCCTGCACTCTCTTCATTTTACAAGCCACTGCTTCCTCTGCCCCAAATCCAGAAGCTGGTGCTAAAAATGAAAAAGGATATAAAAAAGCCAGAGAGGGAGAGGGATAGAGAGAGATGACCAGTGGCACATCTGGTGCTTCTGATTCATATCACTAGAAAGCCTTTGCTAAGCCTTGACACTTCCACTGAACACAGATCTGTCAGCAAGATAATCCATACCCAGAGATTAGCATAAGGAAGCTGCTTGGATTCGGCAAGCAGGCTAGGAAAGGGACCCTGGCAGCAGGCTAGTGCCAAGTTAGGGTGCATTTCATCCCCCCACCAGGGAGGATGGCAGCAGTGGATGCTCAGAGCCAGCTGCGCCAGAGGAGGCTTGTTGCACACAGGACTATGTTGGCTTGCTTGTTGAGAGCGCAGAACAGCCATGCATGAACTGAACACAGCAATATAGACAGAAATCCAAATTACCTTTTGCTTGGTGGAGTGCCCCCCCTTTAGATGCCAGGGCAAAAGGGTGACTTGTAAGACAGTGATTAATGACAGTTGCCTGTCCTTGATGAGGGCTATAGCTGATTTTCTGTATGTGATGTGGTTGTGACATGCAGGTCCTAGTGTAAAATCACAATTTCTCAGCACAGAGATGGAAGGAACATGAGTCTGTGTCAGAAGCTCTCCCTCTCTCTCTGGCTTGTGAAATCAGTGAGGAGGGTACAGTGTAGGCAGCAGAGCTAAGGAGGAGGGCTGGGAGGGGAGTGATCACTGGGGAGGAAGGACTTGCTTTTGTGCTGATCAGTCACTTTTTTTCACAGCTCTCTCTTTGTCAAGAGGAAGGCTGTGCACAGGAGTCCATAGGCTGAACAGCAGCTCTGCGATCCCTTTCCTTGTACAGCTTCTTATCAGTCGGGAGCTGCTGAAGCCTTCCTAGCTGGATGGAGGCAGGTCAGGCTCTGTGCTTGGCATGTCACCCCCCCCCGGAGGGCTAACTGTTTGCTTTGCCCATAGTAGCCTCCTTTGATTGATTTAAGAAAACAAAAGGATTTGGCCAGACCTGAGAGAGTCTCCTCGGCGGGGAGGGGGGCACAGCGGGAGGCGAGCAGTGCAAAGTGACATGACTTGTACTCTACGGCTCAGCGGCAGTTCCGGCAGCGGCCGACAGGTGGCAGCCTTGTGCTCCGAATCATCGGCACGATATATCTGGTCCCCGCAGATGTAGGAGAGTCATCCCCTGGGGGGGTCATAGGCACCATTTATCTCTATAAGTCCCAATGACACAAGTCCAATATGATGTCCTGTGCTCTGTACGTGCCTACAGGCGAATGGCTGTGAATGTGCAGGCTGAGCCTTGAATTAATCTAAGATGCAACATTTTAAATGCCTTTCAATTGATAATTCATATTCATAACAATTGCTACAGTTAGGGATCGTTCCCTCCAGCTCCATTGTGCTGTCCCAACAGCTAGACAAGGCAATTTACCTTATGACCCATTGTTTTAGCTCACGCCAATGAGTTGCACTGGTGTGTAATGGCATTTAGTGCCAATGCATGGACAAGGCAATGTGCCTTGTGCCCCATTGTTTTAGCTTATGCCAACGAGCTGCATCGGTGTGCACTGGCATTCAGTGCCAATGCATGGATAAGGCAGTTTGTCTTGTGTCCCAGTGTTTTAGTTCACGTCACCAACCTGCATTGGTTGTGCACTGGAGAGAAGGACAGGTTGCAATTCTATGCAGCAAGTTGCGATGTGCTACAACGCATTGCTATATGCTACGGTGCATAGAGTTGCATGAAATGTCGTTTTGTCACATTTGTATTAACGTTTAATGGAGAACTCCAGGAAAAAAAAGTTTACTAACCATATGCAGTGGGGCTATCCCTAAATTGCAAGGGTTAAGTGCTCGTTTTTCTTTTTTGGTCTAGGGTCTAAAATAGCAAAGTTATACTCCCCCAAAGCTTGGAGCTGGCCTGCTGTCACAGTGCTCCCTCCAGCCTTTCTCCTCCTATGCTGCAGCTTTGTTCCTCAGTGTCCTCACGTTTATACATAGTGTATAGAACATGATGATTTATGGGACCTTAAAGTGACAATAAAGGCAAAAAAAGTTTTCCCTCCCTCAATGTTAATTAAAGCACTTACCTTAAATTATGTCTCTTAATCTGATTTTCTTCTTCTTTCCTGTCGTTTTCAGCCTTCTCTCCAGCGCTGCTGCAGGTCTTCGATCCAGCGCTGACTTCTCTGTCCTTGCTTACACTTCCTGTCCCACGGTGTCTGCATGTGGGTGCATGCGTCCATATACTTACCTTGTGTCTCTCCTCGTCTCCCGGCTGAAAATCCGAGCTGCGCATGCGCCCGCCCCAAGATCCTTTGCGGCCGCCCAAAAATTTTCAGATTTTCAGATGGGAGAGCGTCGAAGACACAGGTAAGTTTAAACCGCTTTTAAAGCGTTTAAAAAAAAAAGATTTTTGCTTATAGCTACTGCTTGCTAGCAGTAGATATATGCAAAAAATACGTGAGGGTTTAGATAAGTATGACTGAGCGGTTAACCCTTGCAGTGCGGGGGTAGCCCCACTGCAAGGGTTAATACATTTATTCCTGGAGTTCTTCTTTAACGATAGAGAAGACAGTAGACAGCGTGATGCAGTTCAACAATGCATCTTACCGCCCCTACACAATTCACACCAGTGAACGAGTGTTATACAGAGCATAGCCTGTAAATGAGCCTTTCGCCAACAGAATGGCATTTAGTTTACTATTGTACTGTTTATCATAAACTAGTGGCATTTGTTTACACCTTTTTCATCCGTTGCTCCTGATATCCTCTACCCTGTTTGCAGCCACTTTCTGTCTATATGCAAGCACTTCATGGATGGCTTCATGGCATTTGTCATGGTGTGTTTCCTGATGCTGGCAACAGTGGACCGTGCCTGTGTTATGTGTGTTGAAATGGCCACTTGCAAGTTTATTGGAAGCTCTTGTGACAGGGGGGCAATGCAGAAGCCTTATAACAAAACTGAACAAGGACCCTAATGGCAGCATCATCAGGTACTATTTTAGCAAAAGTTGGAGATTTAAAAATATTGAAATTTACTTTTGAAATTTTATTAGAAAGACCCTTCTTCTTCCCAGGTAAACAGTTTTTGACACATTTTAGGGACAGGGTTGCTTTAAAGAAACAGTTTGGGCAAATAAAAAAAACTTACCCTTGCAGTGGGACTACCCTGCACTGCAAGGGTTAAGTGCTCATTTTGTCTAGGGGACTCAAATAAAGCTGTGTTACTGTGCAAGGTGGGCATTTCTGTGCGGCTCCCTCTGGGCTGCCAGACCTGTCCTCGCAGATTCTTCTCTGGTCTCCAGGGGATCTAAGGACCGCTGATGTCATCACGTCTAATGCAGGTACATTAGACATTCCATAGTTGGAATGGAGGGAGAAGAGGTGAGCACTGACTGCCATGGGACAGAGGATCAGGTGATTTGAGCCCCCTAGGCAAAATGAGCACTTAACCCTTTTAGTGTGCAGGTAGCCCCACTGCAAGGGTATGT